CGAGACCCATGTGGGTCCAGAGCTCCTCCGGGTGATGTGGGCGATGTTTTTGGGACTCGAGCCGCCACATTGCACCCGTACCCTCGAGACGACAGTGATTCTGAGGGTCACGAGGACGAGGACAAGCCGACGGGCCCCGCTACCGCCACTCCTGCGGCGGATGAGCGTGATGAATGGAGTGACCCAGAGGACGTCCGTAGACGGAGTGGCGGAGATGACCTTTTCCTTCGAGTTGATTTGGAGGAGGAGTATGGGGGTCGTCATGGGAGCCCTTTAGAGCGTCCGAGGCCTACGTCCGTTGAGCGCGAAAGAGATCCAGGGTCTGCACCTTCGAGGGGGGCAGAGTCGGGGATTGGCCATCATCCTTTGGGTCGCTCTGGCACGGCATCATCCACCGCTCTTCCCACTTCGACGGAGCAGCTTCATCGACAGCCAGCCGGTGCAGATCGATTGCAGAGATTGGTGAGGGGCCCGAGACAGTGATTGGAGGACAGATTAGAGGGCGGTCCTATGCCGGTGCAGGGTGACGACAGAGACACACAGGGGTTGGTTGGTGGAGATGGTGGTGCGTTGGCCGGAGGTGGAGGCGGTGCCGAGGTTGATGCGGCGGTTGAGGGGATAACGACGGGCGGCGGAGGCGGTTTCAGTGAGTTTGGTGACTTGGGTATGCCCCCGGGAGAGAGCGTGGGTCTGGCCCGAGGAGAGAGCGAGTCCCGTGGGGACATCGGTGTGGGTATGCAGGACTTACTGGGACAGATCAGCTTCGCGGGTCCGAGTAGTTTCTCCCCTGCCATGCGCGCAGAGATGATGTTGGGGGCAGAGGGGGATGAGGAACGGACACCCCCTGGAGAGACATCCGCAGAGAGGCTGGATAGGCTTGATAGTCGTCGAGCTTGCCTCATGGCACAAAGGGACCCCAGGACGCAGGAGCTCGCCCGTCTTCCGGCGGAGGACCGACGGAGGCAGCTGGGGACATTCACGCCGGCGTCCGTTGACGTGGGGCCAGCTGCCCACACCGATCGTCCGGCAGAGGAGCCACGTTCGGAGCCGGCGCAGCCTCCTGCCGTCCAGCTGAGGCCCGAGGAGACATTGCAGGAGGTCGCGGGCGTGCCTCTGCCCGTGGGTTCAGTTGAGGGTGCCGTGCATATGTCCCCGGGTCTGGAGGACATACAGACGGGGCAGTCAGTGGGCGTTGATGATATTCGCCCATCGGCACAGGCGGAGGGGATAGCGCCGACCACCGGGGGGGACGGGGCCGTAGAGGGGGTCGTTGGTGTTGGCAGGTCGGGGGTGTCGTCCGCGGCCGATCCGATGTCCACGTCTGGCGGGGGAGACCCCGCACAGGTGGACAGTCGTGACGCGGACAGACAGGAGATGCCACAGACTTTGGTGGTTCGCACTGCTGTGGGGCCAGTGGTGCCACATCAGGCACCGTTTTTGGAGGGTTATAGGCGTCCTTCACATGGCGGTGGCCCAGTCGAGGAGCGATGTGTAGGCAGGGGCGCGTGCATACCCCCGGTCCCTACTTTTACGCCGTCACGGACGAGGTCGAAGATCAGGCATGTGGCTACGCCTCGGGGCAGCCTCCCTTTTGGTTTTATGACCGCTGAGGAGTTGGAGGACCACAGCAGGAGGGATTTGACGGAGATCGGCCAGCGTGTTTTGAGGTCAGTCCCGGAGGAGGGGAAGTTGCCTCGCGTGCAGGACTTATCTTGGGAGCCAGCCAGCCCCAGCTTACCTTCTGGGTGTTCCATCGCAGCGCCATCTGGCGGGGCTGCAAGGGACTTACCTTCTGGAGGTTCCGTCGCAGCGGCATCTGGCGGGCCCGCAGCGGACTTACCTTCTGGAGGTTCGGTCGCAGCACCATCTGGAGGCGCCGCAGGCCCTTCGTCACCATTGACCGCAACTCCCAGGGAGGGCGGCAGTCTCACCTCGAGGTCGGTTGCCCGTAGACGGAGAGACACTACCCAGCGTGCGCGGGAGTTGCTGGACACCATGTTGTTCGGTCGCACTGATCGACCATGGAGTGAGACGAGACGGGTAACGATGGCGAGTGTCGGTCGTCACCCTTTGAGAGGGGTTTCCACGAGCGCGAGACGCCGAGATGTTGTAGCTTCAGGGTTTGGCGGTAGAGGGGGCGGCGGCGGTGGCAGTGGTGGCGACGACGACGGTCGATGTGAGGGCGCATGCGGTGCCACGACGAGCGCAGTGGATCCGCCGCGGACGTACGGTTTGAGAGAAGCGTCGATTATTTTGGAGGAGCCTGATGTTGTTACACGACTGAGGCCGGCCCGACACGTACCCTTAGATCGACGCCAGGAGGGGGAGACTTCAGGGACAGACGGTCTACCTATGGCACGCGATTCACACTGACGTGATGACCTAGCAGCAGCAGCCATCAGGACGGTGAAAGGCAGGAAAGTCATTATGGACGACGATCCCGACGAGCTTCCCATCGCTCCCGAGCCTTTTGCCGGCGGACGCGGCGGCCAGCGTCAGAGAGATCGAGGATGTGGCAGTGGTCCGTCTCACGGACGAGTTTCTCATCGGTCCGAGCGAGATCCACGTGCGCATGACGATTGTTGACGGATTACGGACTTGCAATTTCGTGACTTTCTCAGTGTACTTTAGTTTTTTGTGATCCATGAAAGACGTAGTGTCTCGTGAGGTTGTATTATAGTCTACTTTCCAGTGGCCTGGTTATCTGCGCAGACGTAGTGTTTCGTGATGTTGTATTATAGTGTACTTTCCAGTAGGCACTTTTCTCCGCAGTTGGCTACTTCGGAGATTGTAGCTTTCCAGTGTATTTTAGCGTACTTTTTCGTCGGCATTTTCGGGTTGGTACTTCTTTCCACAGACTGGCGGGGCTTCGACACGATGTGTCAGATTTTTGCTATTATCCATGCTATATTGGTTTGCGTTTTGCTTCGATCATTACATCTTCGCATTTGCGATATTTCTGTTTTCAGACGACAAGTTTTTGTGTGCTTTGAGTCCGCCCTTGGTTTCTTTGAAATCTTACTTCCCACTGTATGAGCACCACAAAAACCTCGGGCACCCGGGGGCGTGGGCGGACTTGGGGGGTTGGGGTTTGGGGCGATTTGAACACGCACGAAACTCAAACCCCCGAAGTGCTTCCAGGCCCCTCATAACCCAAACCCTCCCGTAGCCCCCCCCTGGCCCCCCGCCCCCACCCCTGCCCCCGAACCCCCCAAACCACCTTTTCTTTTTTTTGTTTGCAACCCTTTTTTTTTAATTTCTCTAACCGCTTGTTTTGCGCTATTAAAAAAATAAAAAGAAAACAGATATTTTGGAAAAAAAAATAAAAGAAAGGTCGCAGTTTGTGTTTGTGTGTATTTGTTTGTGTAAATGGGTGGCGCAGTTTGGGGGGTTGTAATTGTGGGCAGGAAAAGAAAAAAAAAAACGTCCCCGGGGGGAAGGGGAGGTGGTGGTACTGGGTGGCCCTCCGTTGGGTGGGGGTAGGGGAGTCGGGGCTTAGCAGGTGGCGGTTTCGGGGGTGGGGACCGCGGGGCGGGGCGGCGGGGGGGGTATCGGGTGGTCCCGGGGGGCGGTTTTCGCACTTTGGGGGTTTGTCGAACTCGGTTCACCACCCCGTAGCCCCAGTCGCGCGCGCGCGCCCCGCGGGACCGCGTTCAACTTTTTCGCGCGCGCGCGTGCGTAGCGCGTTTAAACGCTATTGAACGCGGGGCTGGGAGGTTTGAACACGCGCGTTTGAACATGAACGTGCGTTCACAGCGTTCAACCAGTTACACAAAATGGTTGAGGAAGAAGAGAAGAAGAAGTTGGAGAAAAAAAGGAAGGCGGTCGAGGAGTAGAGAATGAGGGAGATCATTGACTTTGCTATCTCTAACAAGGACCAAGGGTCATCGTCCGGGATCGAGTTGTTGACCAAGATTAGCGAAGACAACAAGAAGATATGGATGGAAATTGAGAAGATTAGTCGAGGGAACGTGAATCTTGACAGACAGAAGGAGATCGAGGGGCGGCTGTCTGCACTGGAGAACGAGAAGAGGAAGACTATGGAGACGAAGGGATCGCCTCCGGAACCCGCTAAAGGCAAGCAGAAGGTAGACGGTCCGGACGGACTGACAATCGGATTGATGGCAATGGAGATGGATGACCTCCGACGTTTTCGAGACAAGGCCGAAGAGGTATTGGAACGAATCTGTCAGGACATCGCCGAGATCAAGACTGGACGCGCTTCTGTTCCACCACACCATCCTATCCCCCCTCCCCCTCCCCCTCCGCCTCCCCCTCCGTCATCACCAATGACCCCACCACAACCCCCGTCACATCTGAGATTCACTCCTGTCAGACGTCCTGTTCCCATTCCCTTTGTTCCTACTACGTCCCGTCAACCCGCGCCGACCCCGGCTTGTCCAACAGTCTCTGACCCTACGCCCCCACCACCTCCCCCTCCCCCTCCTCCACCAGTCTCTTCTAATGCTCCCCCGCGCCCACCTCTCGCCACTACTTCACGGGCACCTCCGTCATCAGCCCCTACTCCAACACCACCCGGCCCTACCCCCGCTCCCCCTTCTGCTGCTTTTCCCGCATCCGCTCTCCGTAATCGAGTCTCCGGGAATCAACCACAAACAACATCGTTGTCACGAATCTTTGCGTCAGCCGCGTAGGAGGAACGAGGAGCTCAGTCTGCTCCCCATCACGGGTTGTGCTCTGGACTGGGCTTCGATCGGATTCTTCAAGGGAAGAAACATGTCGTCGCAGGCACTGGACCAGGTGCCAGGGAACGTTACAAAGAGGATTTGCAGAAAATCCTCATGCGGATGACCAAACAGGAGTTACAGGAGCTCTGCAAGAAAGACGACATCACTTGTGTTACCAAGCAAACTACGGCAACCGAACTGGTTGAGATTCGAGCCATGATCGCCTTTGGACCTGGCAGCGAGCCGGCTGCTCGGGACGTGCATCCGGTGCCGTCCTAGCCACGACTTCTTTGGACCGTCTTTTTATGATGAGCTTACTGGGGAAGGTAATCCGGGTAAGGAAATTTTTGCGATTTCAGGATAGGAGGTGCTGGAAGCCATGCGAACTCTTGTTACGATGGGTTATGTTGTTTTTGATTTTTTGTGGAGTTTTTTCATGGCTCAATAAGTTTTGGGGTGATTGGATTGAGTGGTTACGTAGGGAACAGGATTGGTCCAAGTTTGATTGTTGTACGTATATTTTAGTGTCCCCCTGGCACAGGGCTTGCTATATAGGTAAAACTCAGCGGTCATTAGATGAGAGATGGACTAAACATGTGTATGGGGTTGATAGAGCCGATGGGAGAAATCATAAATTGAAATCTTGTTTAAAAAAGAAAGGTTGGGATTCTTATATCGCTCTTCCATTAGTCTCCGCTCGAAGGGAGGAACTAGAGGCAGTGGAACAGAGTCTGATCAGACGATGGTGTCCTTCTTTGAATACCAAGAGGAAATTTCATAGAAGTAAACGTACACGGCCTGGTAAGAGAGAACGCAGAAGATCCGAACGACCAAGTGACCCAGTTTGTAGACCAAGTACGTTGATCCAGTTCGAATTTTGTGATAGTATCGGGAATAGTATTTCACAAGGATTCTCATTGATTCAGGTATTATTACAGGCACATAATCTAGGGATCAGACGGGGCGTATTAGTTAGTACTCAAGGTAATTGGTGGCTCGACAGGTGGTCAATTGTCAAACGCCTCTTTGGGAACACTATTATTAGTATCGGTAAGGATCGCAGATTTCTTCGGAGAACAAGGCCGTTGCTTGAGAACGGTGCAGTTGTCAACATTTTCTTTTTTCAACCACGGTTCCATGTTTGTGAACAAAAGAAGGCCAATTTAATAGGCTACCTTCGGACCCCGCAAACTCGAAAAGAGTTACAACTTCTCGCGTGTGACCAGTTACTTAATCTGTATTCGCATGTTCGATTAATCGAAGACTTGAGGCAGCGTGCCATTCTCAAAGGTATTCTTACAAGGGCGATATCCTGAAATATCGGGTTTGGGTTTAGATTTAGGATTACCGTCAAAATTCTTTTTGATCCTTCCGTTTGTTAACGAAGAGTACTGAAGTTATGTAAAGAGTTGCTGACTCTTGAGATCAAGAATGATAAAGTGACCAATTTTTTTGTGAAACGGATCAGAATCGTTTTCCAGAAACGGAAGTCTATCCAGGATTATTTGGTCAATCACCGACTGTTTACTAGAAATGGATCTTTGGATTGTTCTTGCTCCAAGAATAGAATTAGTTTTTCAACACATATTGGTGGTCATGTTGGCTTTCGGTTATCTGATATTCCAGATCTCCCACCCTCTCTTTATAACAGTCGAAATATCCCTTGTTCTGACATGTCCACAACTGCTAGGATGCTCCGACAATCTATTTCTCTCGCCTTCTCCCTAATTGGCCTGAATCCTATTATCTTTAATCATCGAATCTACGATTGCTTCAATCATCAGGAGGTTCGTGGGTCCCAATACCTATCTCTCGATTATATTCATGATCTTCAACACAAATTTGGAAATCTTGTTTGCTTTCCTATCGACCACAATCCTGGCGATCTTTTCTTTTGCTGTCCGGTTGTATACCAAGGGGCCATGGATAGTTTGTTCTGCAGTAATGATTCTTATGAAAGAGCCTCCCCAGAATGGATAAGGTGATGGAACGGTATTATACTGAATTCATCTCTGGGGGCTTTCACACACTGTCTAGCTGGAGAAAACAAGGTAGTATTGGGAATTGCTACGTAATCCCGAAACATAAAGACACTCAACGCTGGCACCCCATCTGTCCGGCCTTCTCAGATCCTGCTAACCGGGTGGATACTATCGTGGGAAAGGGTATTAATGGCTTACTTTGAAAATTACCTTCTTCTTCTCACTTCAATATGAAGGCTACATCACTGATCAAGGAGAAAATAGGTCATGTAAACTCCTCTATCGAGCGGATCTCTTTCCTCGTTATGCTAGGGGCCGCATACGATACTAAAGATATGTTCTCCGAGCTACCCCATGTATCAATTATGCAGGTTGTCGAATGGATAACTGAACTTTTTGGGACTAAGGGATTTGACTGGATTCGGGCTAACACCATAGGAAAAGGGTACACGTTCGGACATGCCAATGGAGAAATTGGGTGGATACGGGTCAGTTTTGTCATGATCCGAGATTTTGTAGCGTATAGTCTCAAGCATACGTACACGTGTACCCGGGGGGAAGTGTACAGACAAACAGAGGGGATACCTATGGGCAAGAGTTCGAGCCCGACCCTGGCTTGTCTTCTTTGCGCCTATAATGAATTTTTATTTATGAAAAGTCTACATCTACCGGCGTCTATACGGGTTCATGGGATGCGCATAGTTGACGACGTGACGTTTTTCGTCGTTTTTAACGATACAGGGAAAAACTGGTACGAAGCCAAAGGCATTTTCAAAAAGTTCGTTTCGTCGTACGATTTGAACCTT